AGGTACAAATTTATGAAAGCATCGCTACAATGTAGAAAATCCCAACTACCACTAAAAGAACTAAAGCTAAAATACATTTCAGGAGCACAAGGATTTCGCGACCAATCTCAACTAAAACAGACAGATCCCCCGATTGTGCAACATCTTTGGGCTTCTTCGGCTGGATCACTGCATCATTAGCCGCCGTATCTGTCTGTTGTGCAAGATATTTTTGCATGAGTTCAACATACTCTTCCTCCCAGTAGAAGCCTGAACATCGTCCACTGCCATCCCACTGAAATTAAAACAAAAAATTAGAACTTTAATCACAACCATCATGAAAATAGGTATAAACTAACCATAATCATAAAATACGATAAAATAACTCACATTACGATCCGGACACTTATAGAAGATACGACCCTTGTTGGGACCCTCCTTCTTCACTCGGTACTCCATCACAATCTTCGTCTCATCACGACACTTGCTGCATGGAATGAGAGGGAGGCCCGGCCTAAGTCGCTTTGGAAACCCATGAGAGGCCGAGGACCTGGAAGCAGTAGTTGCCATCTACTCTCTATACTCATTTTTAATACACTGTACATTTCTCATTTTATAAACAAATAAAATTAAGAAACTATAAAATTATCTATATATCTAAACAATGAAGTGTGCTATGCATGCTAGAAATAAAAAGTGAATACTAATTTTAAATACCTACTTTAACCTTTCTTCATCCAAATATGCAAACTATAAGTTATTTTGAGCTCAAATTGTTTACAAATAAAAAAAACACCATAAAAACAATATATATATAGTGAACAATATGAGATAAGCCAATGATGAAAAATGAGAGTATGAGATTGGTAACCTTTACAACTGAAGAATCGACGGAGGAATCGAAGAATGGATGGAGGAACAATGGATGGAGGAAGCAAGAACACTAGTGCAGTGAGCTTTAAAATATGCTGAGCTCGGGCTCGGGAAGGAAGAAGGAGACAGCCAGGATATAAAGGGGGGACCTTTAGTCCCGGTTGGTGGATCCAACCGGGACTAAAGGTAACTTTCCAACCTCCGGCGCAGCCACGGCCCAGGAGTAGACCTTTACTCCCGGTTGGAGCAACCAACCGGGAGTAAAAGTCTACCTTTAGTCTTGGTTGGTGGCTCCAACCGGGGCTAAAGGTCTCTCTAGTCCCGGGCGCAAAAAATGCCAGGACTAGAGCCCATTTTGACCAAGGATCAAATGTCTATTTTCTACTAGTGAAGCTAAGTTATACTAGATCTAATCTTATTCCATTTTTATCTCTAGAGTTTGTTTGTCTCCAATTATCTCTAACCATACATATCTTTATTTCCAACACATCTTTTGTGGTCATCGGCCACATCGCGTCTGACGAGTAAGAGGGCACCACCAAATCGATCGACCCTAAGCGCCTAGTCGAGACGACGAGACCTCGAGCTCGAGGTGCATGACGGCGAGCGTCCAAGCAGTCCACAGTTTCGAGGTGACGAGTTTCTCGCTGCTGGAAGGCATGGGCGCTGGCAGATTCGTGAGCTCCAGGACCTTCCGCGCCGGCGGTCGTGGCTGGAACATCAGGGTCTATCCCGACGGGTTGAAGGAGGAGGACAAGGCTGAGTACGTGTCGGCGTTCTTGTATTTGGTCGACGGACCAAAGAATACCAAGACTAGGACCAAGTACACTCTGGAATTACTACAAAAAGACGGCAAAGTATCTGAACTAACAAGGTGCTCCTCCGTCGTGGTATCACATACCTTCGAGGCAGCAGATTCTAAGTGGGGTTTCGCCAAGTTCGTAGAGAAATCCACTGCTGCGCCTCAACAACGACCGCTTCATGAATTCCAAGCTAAAACCACTGCTGCGCCTCAACAACGACCGCTTCACGATCAGGTGTGCCCTGACTGTCATCGGCGAATCTCAATCTGAGGACGAGGTACCCGCAGCAGCCACCATCACGGAGGAGTTTCCCGAGCCAAACATACACCAGCACTTCGAGCACATGTTGAAGACTGGGAAGGGCACGGACGTGATGTTCGAGGTCAATGGCCAGCTGTTCCATGCCCACAGATGTGTTCTTGCTGCACGGTCTCCGGTGTTTGAAGCAGAGCTCTTCTGTCCCATGAAGGAGAAGGCCACGGCAGAGCCCATCAAAGTTGCTGACATGGAGCCCTTACTAGTAAAGAACAGACCTTTCATCCGAGACTAAAATGGGCTCTAGTCCCGGCATTTTTTGCGCCCGGGACTAAAGAGACCTTTAGTTCCGGTTGGTGTCTCCAACCGGGACTAAAGGTCTCTGCCCAACGGCTACTGCGCTCGGCATAGTGGCAGGGGACCTTTAGTTTCGGTTGGAGACACCAACCGGGACTAAAGGTGGACCTTTACTCCCGGTTGGAGCCACCAACCGGGACTAAAAGTCCTCCAACCTTTAGTCCCGGTTGGTAACACCAATCGGGACTAAAAGTAGACCCTTTAGTCCCGGTTGGTAACACCAATCCGGACTAAAGGACCCTTTAGTCCCGGTTGGTAACAGGTCCCCCGATGGATTAGTTCAAAAGAGAAGCATCCCATCTATTGTTATATGTGTTATGTAGGTGGGTTGGTAAGCTACGCGCGAGACAATGCATGAGGTCTTGGGTTCGAATCTCACGGGACGCAGTGGTGGGAGGCATTATTTTTTTTAAAGCTGGAAGGACCTTTAGTCCCGGTTGGTGTTACTCACCAGGACTAATTCCTGACCCGGGACTAAAGGACCCCCTTTAGTCTCGGATGCTTACTCCCGGGTGGGAACCGGGACTAGAGAGGGTTTCCCACCGGGAGTAAAGCCCGCCTCCATCTTCGAGCAGCTTCTTCACTTCATATACACAGATCCAATCTTATCAGACAGTAAGAACGGTGACGATGACGACGACAAAACTGCGTCCATGCAACACTTGCTGGTTGCCGCGGACCGATATGGGCTAGACAGGCTGAGGCTAATGTGCGAGGCCAGCTTGTGTCACGGCATCGATGCGCAGACGGTTGCCACCACCCTTGCTCTAGCAGATCAGCACCACTTCGCCCGTCTCAAAGTCGCCTGCCTCAGATTTATTGCCTCCCGAGATGTGCTTGCTGTTGTCATGAAGACAGGGATTCAAGCATCAAGTGGCAAGTTGCCCTTTGATAGCAGTGGAGATATTAGACAAGATCGTCGCCGAAGCATAAGCGAGTAGTCTCGATCGAGTGCTGTGATTTCAGCTCTCGCACTACAGAAGTTCTTAGGAAGTTTATGTTCCTTGTTTAGGGTTTAGAGTTTTAGGAGTAGAATTTTAAGGCTATTTATTTGGAGTTTGGGATTAGGGTTTTTGGTCCCTTTTCATCATGTTCCAATCAAGTACCAGCTGTCATTAAAGTTTGGGTCCGTTTGGTCGGGTGTCATTCAAGTTTATAAGGGTAATTTGATTGCAAAGTGAGACAAAATTGGACAAATCCATCTGTGTTTTTATTAGCATGTGATATTCTATGTCTGTGTTTGGTTAGTGATGGAAAGATTCAATATTGTTGTTTGGTTAGAGGGATGGATATGAATAAAATAAGAAATCCGTTAGCCACCGTCTTGTGAGTCAAACACCCCCTCCCTTTCTGTCTTCCTACCTCTGGTTGAGGTGGCATATATATGCTGGCATGCTAGGTCACCTCTAGTCTAGCCCTAACGGCCGCATAGGCAAGTAGGAGGGTGATGGCACGAGCCAGGAAAATCTATGGGGTTGAGTAGGAGAGAGAGGACATGGAGGGCAATGATGTCCCCATGGGAAGAGCACATCCGGTAGATTTATGGCAACAACTGCTTTGAATACTTCTCTTCAGGGATCCGTACTATAACCAAAAGCAAGAAAAACTAAGAAATGTATACTCCCTCTGTCCCACTTTATTTGACGTTCTGGCAGCTCATTTGGAGGTCCAGATTCATTCAAAGCTCCATGCATGTAGACAGAACCCATGTACAGATTCAAAGAATCTTTGATGTACTCGATACAGAGGTAAAACGTCACATATAATGGGACGGTGCGAGTATCATGGAAAGTCAGGGTATAGATACCGAGTATCAGTACATGCCCCGCCTAGACCATAGGAGGGAAACGCCCTATAGCACTCTAGCGCCCATCACTGTTGAAAGAGATCAGGGTTCCTAGAAGTAGTTTTTAAAGATATAGGAGCCATAGTTAAAGATAAGTGACACAATTAAACATATCAAAGAATAGAAAGATAATTTCATTAAATTTTGTCTGGAATATCAAAAAAATCATCAATTTTTTCTATGGATTATGTCTTAATAGTGTATTTATTTGAATTTGTATATGCCAATATGGTCTTCTAAAAACTTAGTCAGAACTTAGGAAATTTTGACTTAGGACAAAGCTAAAGTAAGCAATAGTTTCAAATGAACATACTCCTCCGTCAATCTAAAAAGAATGCAATTCTCGTTTTATGAGGAGTCAAACAATTTTATCCATCTTGGTTATGGATGCATTGTTTTCAAAATACATTTTGATAATCATTGACAAGTTATGTATGTAGTCTCTTCAGTCATCATGTTTGAATCCTCAAGCATGTATAAATACCATTGTGACTGTTGAGGGCATCGGGGTCTATTTGCAACGCAGGAATTTCACATGAATTAGTTTAATTTTATTGGAAAAACACAGGAATATAATTTTTTTTCTACATCCTAAACGGGCCCTTATAAAGAATCCAAAAACTACAAGCCCAATTGATTCACAAAAAGTGATTCGGGGGGTGGAATTGGGGAGAAACCGAATCCAAGTCAAAACCTTTCCCCAAGTTATTTTCTCAGCTTTAGCCGTTTGGACTCCTAGTCATAGTTCGGATCCCTGTCGGCATCCGAGCCCCAGTTTTATATAAGACGGCCAGAGGTGCGCTGGTGTGTGTATATATGTACTCCATTTTGTTGATTAATGTTATTGCTCCCCTGCGTTGCCTCCGATCGACCTTCAATCTTGCACAATGGCAAACGTCTGTGCTGTCCCATCAGTGAACGGCAAATCGCTGCCAGTGGCAGTGACGACGTCGTCGAGTTGCCTAACACAAGGCATCACCGCGGCACACAACTTCAAGGTGATCAACTTCTCGCTGCTCGAAGGCATGGGCGTCGGCAAGTTCGTCAGCTCGAGGAACTTCCGTGTTGGCGGTTATGACTGGAACATCAAGCTCTACGCAGACGGGAGCATGTCGGAGCATAAAGATAAAGCGTCGACCTTCTAGACTCCTTAGGGAGGAGGACAGGAGGGCGTGAGGGTCATGTTCACCTTAAACGTCTTCGGTAAGGATGGCAAAGTGTGGGTGAAGGAAAACGCGGAGCATACCTTCAAGTCACCTTTAACACGCTGGGGCTGGCGCACCGTGATAGATAAATCCAGCCCCCTCTTCCGAACGCAGCTGTGCGACAGCAACGACCGCTTCACGGTCAGGTGCGTCCTGACCGTCATCCAAGACCCCCCATGTCGAGGACGTGAGCGCCATCGTCTTCTCGGAGCCCAGCGTGCTGCAGGACTTGGCGAGCATGCTCAGGGACGGGGACGGCGCGGACGTGACGTGACGTTCGTCGTAGGCGGGCGGTCGTTCCCGGCACACCGGTGTGTGCTCGCCGTGAGGTCCGCGGTGTTCAGGGCGGAGCTCTTCGGCCCCATGAAGGAGAAGGCCGCAACGCGCGTCAAGGTCGACGACATGGAGCCTTCCATCTTTGAGGCGCCGCTTCACTTCGTGTACACGGACACTCTGCCGGACGGTGACGGTGGCGTTGCCACGGACGACGACAAGGACAGGAATGTGCCGATGCAGCACCTGCTGGTGGCCGCGGATCGGTGTGGGCTGGACAGGCTGAGGCTCATGTGCGAGGTGGGGATGTGCCGTAGCATCGACGCGGACACGGTGGCGACTACTCTGGCTTTAGCCGAGCAGCGCCGCTGCATGCAGCTCAAGAATGCTTGTCTTGGATTCATAGCTTCGCGGGGCATGCTTGGTGCTGTCGTGCAGACCAGTGGGTTCTGTCATCTCGTAGAGAGCTGCCCTTTGGTTCTATTGGAGATTTTGGACAAGCTAGCTTCTCTAGGAATCTAGTCAAATGATGCTCCTGCCGTCCAAAAAAAATATAAGTCAAGCTCCTCAATTAGTCTGACAATTCTAAATTTGATTATGTCTATAGAAAATAGTAGTATTAGTATTTGTACATTTTTTTACAGAGAAAAACACTGCTTTTATAAAGCAATGTAAAAGGAGCAAAAAGAGGCTGGGGATACCAGCAAACAAGAAGGTACAGAGCCATAAAAAAAAAAGAAACCCTGCCTTGCAGCTTCTGAGGCTACTAAAACACAGCTAAGCACGGCACCAGGCCGGTCGCCCCTGTCCGCTTTGCTCGCAGCGGTGTGTGGCGCCCTGTCGGCGTTCCACGGGCCGACTAGTCCTATCGGTTACTCAGTCCTATTGGTTACTCAGAAGCCGATAGAGGCCGCCTCCGCGCGTGCGTGCGTGCGCGCAGCTGTGCCGCGCCGAATGCCGTGCTCTGCTCTGCAGCGTGACGACAGCATGGCATCATGCTTACGTCATATACCCCATTTTCCCTTCAAAAATAAAATCAGAAATACAATAAAAATAGAGGAAATCTGAGCCATTGAACTTCGATGGTGCACGTGAGTAGGATAGCCAGCTCAAGGCCTATATCTTTGTTACTTTGTGTATAATTTTAGCTGTATTTTATATTCCATGCAAGTAAAATCTTCTATTTTTATTGAATTTTATATTCCATGCAAATAAACTCTGCCATATTGTGTTGCTCATACAACCGTGCAACGATGAAATAACGAATCGCTTGCCCAAAAAATGATCGTATCAAGATGCTCGTACATGTCCGTACACCCATCTCTACGAACACACGCACACATGTCCTATACCCTTTTGAGCACCTCGAAAGACGATTAGATTTTCTGATCTCGCCATTTAAAACTAAGAGATTTAAAATATACCAACTTAATAAAAGTTCAATGAATCCCTACACCTAAGCATACTGTAACGTCATCGTATACCCAGTCATACCAAGTTTTGAGTCCTGCTTACGTGTCGGCATCTAATATGAATCAACCTGCACTCGAAGCTCGCATGTTCGCGTCCTACCCGATTCTACTACGAAGATCGGATCAACGTGTCCACGTCTGATATGAAGTTCTTAGAACTCACGCATCCGTGTCCGATCACTGAGGTTCAATCCAAACAAAAATGTGATCCCGGTGCAACGCACAGGCATATATCTAGTTGATGTAATATCTGCTGAAGCAAGCAGTTGCTGTAATTTTAAATTTTTGGTTTTGGTAATTGGTAAGGTTTGTGCACAGAGTGTCCGGCCCTAGGCCCGTGGGAGAAAGCAGCGAGGCGGACTGAGGCGCACGGTGTCCGGATGGGGCGGACGCCCGTGGCCAAGCATTATCGTTTGGTAATCTCCAGCACGGCAGTGCATTATCCACCATGGACGATTATCTTCATCAGAACCCAAAATTAACATGTCCTGTTACAATTCTCCATATTTTCTGGTTGGTCAACAGCTTAACATGCATGTCCGTAACGACTTGATTCTTTACCTCAGATTCCAAAGAGGGTCTCGGAGTCCTAGTTCGTAGAATAGTATTTTCCGAATTTGCGGTATATAAGAGGACATCGACCACCACCACCATGAACGGCGTGTGTGTTGAAGGTTTAGCTGAAAAAAATCGTGCGCGGCCATGGCTAATTACAGGCCTAGTAATTCGACATCGGTTGACAACCACCAGGTGTTACCGGAAACATGGTCGACATGCCGGACGTAGGCCATCATGGGGACGCACAACTTCGTGGTGACCGACTTCTCACCACGCTCGATGACATGGACGCCGGCGACTACGTCAGCTCGGGCACCTTCTTCGTCGGCGGCTACGGATGGAGCATCAAGTTCTTCCCCGGCGGCGACGGTTGTCCAAAGGACGATGAAGCTGCTGCTTATATGACGATGCGTTTGAGTCTTCTTGACAGACCAACGGGTGTGAGGGTTAAGTTCAGTACAAGCCTGCTGGTCGATAAAGGCAGTCAAGCGCCGTCGTCGGGGAAGAAAGGGAAAAGGAAGAAGAGGAAGAACAGATCAGCAGGACAAGGAAATAAACAAGCAGTGCCAACTGCAAGAACCGTCTTCACGGACACAAGAACCTATGACACGGACACAGAGCACCATAACAACAGCGGCAGGCGTAATTTCATCGAAAATCCAAGCTAAAAGAGCTGCCGACGGCTTCACAATCCGGTGCGCCAGTAACCGCCGAGAAGCATCGCATCAAGACGCGGCGACCGTGGCGGCGCTCCCGCCGTCGGACCTACACCGCAGCGCATCTGCCTGGAGGCCGCCGACGTGACGATCAAAGATCGGCGACCGGTTCTTCCTCGCCCACAGTACGCGTGCTCACCGCGCGTCCGGGGTGTTTAGGGCGCAGCTCTTGGCGCCATGGAGGAGAGCGCCACGGGTGCGTTTGGGTCGAGGACATGGAGCCGTGCGTGATCGAGAGGCTTCGCACTTCGTGTCGCGGACTCCTTGCCGGAGAGGAGCTTCCAAGTGTCGTTATGTCGCCTTTCTCTCTCGTGTGTTTGTGCGTTCGCGTGGCATCGGTCTTTCTGTTCGTGCGCAAAGACGGGCTTGATCGATGGGGAAGAAGCGGCGCTACACCATTTCAGTGCCCGTGCACCGAGCGTGCTTATCTGAGCAAGCGGCGCTTGCCCCGTGCCAGAAAGCAGACCATGTCCGAAAGCAGCGAGCCAAGCACGGCACCAGCCACTCGCCCCTGTCCTCTCTACTCAGAGACACCGGAGCGGACACCGCACCTTCCGGTGTACACCGCCTCGGCGGTCGGGCGGTACCGTCCGTCAGCTCGATGTCAGGTGCGCCTGTCGGCCTTCCACGGGCCGACCGGTAGTCCTATCGGCTACTCCATCATGGAGCAACTCAAACATGGAGTTTGTGGAGCGGTGGTACACAAACCTAGCTCTAGCTCCTAAAATAGGTTATTTGCATGCAAATGGCCCATTATGCCCCCGATTGAAATTGCACTTAGTAGTTCTGGTTTTTAACTTTTAAATGGTCTTACAATAAAAGTTCAATGAATCCCTACACCTAAGCATACTGTAACGTCATCGTATACCCAGCCATACCAAGTTTTGAGTCCTCGCTTACGGCGTCCGCATCCAATATGAATCAACTTTTGCACTCGAAGCTCCCATGTTCGCGTCCTACCCGGTTCTACTACGAAGATCGGATCAACGTGTCCACGCCTCGACACGGTTCTTAGAACTCACGCATCCGTGTCCGATTCATCGAGGTTCAATCCAAACAAAATGTGATCCCGGTGCAACGCACAGGCATATATCTAGTTGATGTAATATCTGCTGAAGCAAGGAGTTGCTGTAATTTTAAATTTTTGGTTTTACTAATCGGTAAGGTTTGTGCACGGAGTGTCCGCCCTAGGGCCCATGGGAGAAAGCAATGAGAATGATCGAGGCGCACGGCGTCCGGATGGGGCGGACGCCCGTGGCCAAGCATTATCGTTTGGTAATCTCCAAAGACGGCGGTGCATGTTCCACCATGGACGGTTATCATCATCGAACCCAAAATTAACATGTCCTGTTACAATTCTCCATATTTTCTGGTTTGGTCAACAGCTTAACATGCATGTCCGGTAACAACTCGATTCTTTACCTCAGTATTCCAAGAGGTCTCGGAGTCCTAGTTCGGTAGAATAGTATTTTCCGAATTTGCGTGTATATAAGAGGACATCGACCACCACCACCATGAACGGCGTGTGTGTTGAAGGTTTAGATGAAAAAAAAATGCGCGCGACCATGGCTAATTACAGGCCTAGTAATTTGACATTGGTTGACAACCACCGTGTGTTACCGGAAACGTGGTCGACATGCCGGACGCAGCCATCACGGGACGCGCTTAACTTGGTGGACCGACTTCTCGCCACGCTTCGATGACATGGACGCCGGCGACTTCGTCGGCTCGGGCACCTTCTTCGTCGGTGGCTACGGTTGGAGCATCGAGTTCTTCCCGGTGGCGGCGGTTGTCCAAAGGATGACGAAGTTGCTTTGCTTATCTGACGGCAAGTGCGTTTGAGTCTTCTTGACGGACCAACGGGTGTGAGGGTTAAGTATGCGAGATAAGCGTCTTCGGTCGATAAAGACGCGATCAAGCGCCGCTGCGTCGGGAAGAAAGGGAAAAGGAAGAACGATCAGATCAGGGACAAAGGAAATAAACAAGCGAAGGCTAATCGCAAGAATCGCCTTCATGGACACAAGAACCTATGACACGGACACGTAACACCATAACAACAGGCAAAGCGTAATTTCATCGAGAAATCCAAGCTAAAAGAGCTGCTGAAGGGCTTCACAATCCGTGCGCCGTCACCGTCATGAAGCATCGCACCAAGACGCGGCGACCGTGGCGAAAGCGCTCCGCGGACTCCTGCACCGGACTTCAAGCGCATCTTGTGGAGGTCGCGACGCGATCAAAGATCGGCGATCGGTTCATCCTCGCCCACAGTACGCGTGCTCGCCAAGCGGTCCCGTGGTGTTTAGGGCGCAGCTCTTGGTGCCATGGAGGAGAGCGCCACGGGGGCGCGCCCGGTCGAGGACATGGAGCCGTCGTGATCGAGAGGCTTCGCACTTCGTGTACGCGGACTCCTTGCCGGAGAGGAGCTTCCAAGTGTCGTTGTGTCGCCTTTCTCTCTCGTGTTTGTGCGTCGCTGGGGCATCGGTCTTTCTTTCGTCCAAAGACGGGCTTGATCGATGGGGGAAGAAGCGGCGCTACCGGCTTTCAGTGCCCAGCACCGAAGCGCGTGCTTATCTAAGCGGCGCTTGCCCCTGTGCCGAGCGGACCCTGTCCGAAAGCAGCAGCCAAGCACGGCACCAGTGCCACTCGCCCCTGTCCTCTCTCGTCGTGACACCGGAGTGGACACCGCACCTTCCGGTGTACACCGCCTCGGTCTTTGGCGGTGTACCGTCGCCAGTGTCTGGTGCGCCGTCGGCCTTCCACGGGCCGATCGGTAGTCCTATCGGCTACTCCATCATGGAGCAACTCAAACATGGAGTTTGTGGAGCAGGTGGTACACAACCTAGCTCTAGCTCCGGAAATAGGTTATTTGCATGCAAATGGCCCATTATGCCCCCGATTGAAATTGCACTTAGTAGTTCTGGTTTTTAACTTTTAAATGGTCTTACAATAAAAGTTCAATGAATCCCTACACCTAAGCATACTGTAAACGTCATCGTATACCCAGCCATACCAAGTTTTGAGTCCTCGCTTACGCGTCGCATCCAATATGAATCAACCTGCACTCGAAGCTCGCATGTTCGCGTCCTACCCGGTTCTACTACGAAGATCGGATCAACGTGTCCACGTCGATACGAAGTTCTTAGAACTCACGCATCCGTGTCCGATTCGAGGTTCAATCCAAACAAAAATGTGATCCCGGTGCAACGCACGAGCATATATCTAGTTGATGTAATATCTGCTTTGAAGCATGCAGATTCTTGTAATTTTAAATTTTTGGTTTTGGTAATCGTTAAGGTTTGTGCATCGGAGTGTCCGCCCTAGGCCCGTGGGAGAAAGCAATGAGGCGGATCGAGGCGCACGGCGTCCGGATGGGGCGGACGCCTGTGGCCAAGCATTATCGTTTGGTAATCTCCAAGACAAGCATGCATGTTCCACCATGGACGGTTATCATCATCGAACCCAAAATTAACATGTCCTGTTATAATTCTCCATATTTTCCGTTGGTCAACAGCTTCACATGCATGTCCGTGAACGACTCGATTCTTTACCTGATTATTCGAAGAGGTCTCGGAGTCCTAGTTCGGGTAGAATAGTATTTTCCGAATTTGCGGGAATATAAGAGGACATCGACCACCACCACCATGAACGGCGTGTGTGTTGAAGGTTTAGCTGAAAAAAAAATGTGCGCGGCCATGGCTAATTACGAGCCTAGTAATTCGACATCGGTTGACAACCACCGGTGTTACCGAAAGCGTGGTCGACATGCCGGACGCAGCCATCACGGAACGCACAACTTGGTGACCGACTTCTCGCCATGCTCGATGACATGGACGCCGGGCGACTACGCCAGCTCGGGCACCTTCTTCGTCGACGGCTACGGATGGAGCATCCAGCTTCTTCCCGGTGGCGACGGTTGTCCAAAGGACGACGGTCGCTTGCTTATCTGACGGTGCGTTTGAGTCTTCTTGATGGACCAACGGGTGTCGTGGTTAAGTTCGATATAAACCGCTGGTCGATAAAGATAGTCAAGCACCGTCGTCGGGAAGAGAGGGAAAAGGAAGAAGAGGAAGAACAGATCAGCAGGACAAGGAAATAAACAAGCGAAGCCAATCGCAAGAACCGCTCTTCACGGACACAAGAACCTATGACACGGACACGAGCACCATAACAACAGGGCAAAGCGTAATTTCATCGAGAAATCCAAGCTAAAAGAGCTGCCGCGACGGCTTCACAATCCGGTGCGCCGTCACCGTCGTGGAAGCATCGCACCGAAGACGCGGCGACCGTGGCGAGCTCCGCCGTCGGACCTGCACCGGGACTTCACGCATCTTTGGAGGCCGCCGACGTGACGATCAGCGCCGGCGACCGGTTCTTCCTCGCCCACAGTACGCAGCGTGCTCGCCAGCGCGTCCGTGGTGTTTTTAGGCGCGCAGCTCTTGGCGCCATGGAGGAGAGCGCCACGGGTGCGTCGGGTCGAGGACATGGAGCCGCGTCGCGTGATCGAGAGGCTTCGCACTTCGTGTACGCGGACTCCTTGCCGGAGAGGAGCTTCCAAGTGCCGTTGTGTCGCCCTTCTCTCTGTGTTTGTGCGTTCGCTCGCAGCATCGGTCTTTCTGTTCGTGCAAAGACGGGCTTGATCGATGGGGGAAGAAGCGGCGCTACCACCAAGTGCCCAGCACCGAAGCGTGCTTATCTGAGCAAGCGCTTGCCCCGTGCCGAGCGCAAAGCGATCAACGGCACCACCAGCCGCTCGCCCTCATCCTCTCTGCTTTCGTGAGACACCGGAGCGGACACCGCACCTTCCGGTGTACACCGCCTCGGTGCTGGGCGGTGTACCGTCGCTCGTGTCTGGTGCGCTGTCGGCCTTCCACGGGCCGGCTACTCCATCATGGAGCAACTCAAACCTGGAGTTTGTGGAGCAGGTGGTACACAGCCTAGCTCTAGCTCCCGAA